GGATAGCACCTTATCATACATTTCAGGTCTATATTCGGCATGTGGAGAATTTTGCGAGAGTCTCATTCCCCAAGCATTAGCGACCTGTTGACCTATCCAAAGTCTGGCAAAACAATGCCATAAGATGTCTTGGTTCTCTCAGACAGGCTTTTAAAATGGGTGTAATGAACATAGAAACCAGTTTGGTCCCCAACTCTGGGACTGCCATCCCTCCTTTGCTTAATGGCTTATACAGTATCTCTCGTCTAATTTTTTCATGCTGTGAACTCCAGAAAAAACTAAACAAGGCCTTCCTGATAGATCTTATGAACTGTATTGGTGCCGGGAAAGTTGAGGCTAGAAAAGAAAGAGAGGCCAAAATCTCTGCGTTAATTATCAGCACTTTCCCTCTCAAAGTAAGGTCTTGCTCTTTCCATTGCTTCAGTTTCCACTTTATCTTATCAAGTCTATGATCCCAATTTATTTTATCCATGTCTTTCCCCACAAAAAGGCCCAGAATTTTAATGGATTTTACCTGTTTTTTAAAGCCCAAATTTAATTGAGGCTCTTTCCAACCCGAGTACAGAACCTCTGTCTTGGATTTATTAATCTTAGCTCCTGTAGCTAGAGCGAACCTCTCACAAGTTTCCAGCGTTTCTTTTATGGAATTATTATCCGTGAGGAAAAGTGTTAAATCGTCCATATAAAGAGAAACTTTGGCCACTCTACCTGAACCACCTGGAATTGGAAAGCCCCTAATCCTAGGGTTCCGTCTAAGAGTACAGGCCAATGGCTCAATTGCCAAAACAAACAACAATGGAGACAAGCTACAACCCTGTCGCACACCCGAACAAACATCGAATGGCTCTGACAAATGCCCATTCACCAAAACTCTACTTTGGCAGCCTGCATACAGTAGGCTGATCCATGCACAAATGGTTGAGCCAAAGCCCAAACGCTTCAGCAATGTATGTAAATAATGATGGTCTATGCTATCAAAGGCCTTTTCGAGGTCAAGGCCCAAAATTGCCAGAGATAGTTTACGTTCTTGTGCGTACAGGTATCCCAGACAGCAAACTGACATTGAATCAACGTGGAAACGACGTCTCTCATGACATTGAAACAACGTTGATTTGCTCATCGAATTAACGTTGAACCAACGTCAGACGCGGCATTCTTCAAAGCTAAATGAAATCGAAAATTGGTTTGCTTTCATAACGTTGAAACAACGCGTTGATTTCAAGTTGATTTTCCGTTAGTTTTGAAAGAATGACGCATCTGACGTTGGATCAACGTTAATTCGATGAGCAAAACAATGTCAGATCAACGTTGTTTCAATGTCATATTTCCACGTTGATTCAATGTCAGTTTGCTATCTGGGATATGTCTCTTGCTAATGCTAGATTATCTTGTATAGATCTCCCTTTAATCCCGCATGTTTGGTCATTGCTGATAAATTTTGGCATATTAAAATGCCAAAATTAAAATGCCTTTAAAGGGATACTCCACCGGGTTTTCATATTAAACTATGTTATTCCCTTAACTAAGACATGTTGATGCATACCTCTCTCGTCTCAGTGCGTGCACTCTATCGCTCTGTATTGCCGCAAAACTATGTTAGCACTTAGCTTAGCCCAGTGCATTAAATATGGGCCAAAAAGAGAATCGACCAAACACTTCCTCGTTTTCCCTATTTAAACACAGTTACTGGATTAGTGTAACTCGACCTAGTCTGGTGACACAAAATAAAACGCGTTTTTCTAAGCGTTTAAAATTGATGACTATATTGTATGGCGGAATACCATAAAAAAGTGCTTTAGAGCACTTCAACTTGGCGCAATAATACCTTCACTCGTGAAAAGTCCTCTTACCGGCTCCCGCTTCCTCGCTCTCTCTCCCCCTCCCTCTTATTTCCGTCAATCCAGCCAACGTGACATGCGACAAAGCGGGAGCCGGTAAGAGGACTTTTCACGAGTGAAGGTATTATTGCGCCAAGTTGAAGTCTGCCCTACAAAGGCAAAGTGCAGTAACTACACAAACAAAGAAACAGAGAAAAAGGCCTTTAAAGTTTTCATACAGCCAGTAAAACATGTTATGTGTAGATTATGTGGTAATGCATGTCCGAAATGGGACATAATTTAACCCAGATATTTTTTCACAAGACAGAACACATGTCATAAAGCCCATTACAAGTCTTAACTAATTTTTGACCAAATGTGTAATTACTGTGCTTTGCCTTTGTAGGGCAGAAGTGCTCTAAAGCACTTTTTATGGTATTCCGCCACCACTCTGAATGAATGCAAAAAGGCCTTGAAAAATGGTAACTATCAAATGTCACTATAAATGACTTAAATTTCTTTCTTGCTAAATTTCTTCTTTTAGGTTCTGCAGCATGAAGGAAGACATAATGGTTTAGGACAACACATGAGTAAGAAAAAGATTACAGAATAATTTCAGGGTGAACACCCAGATAGCAAACTGACATTGAATCAACGTGGAAATATGACATCGAAACAACGTTGATCTGACATTGTTTTGCTCATCGAATTAACGTTGAACCAACGTCAGACGCGTCATTCTTTCAAAACTAACGGAAAATCAACTTGAAATCAACGCGTTGTTTCAACGTTATGAAAGCAAACCAATTTTCGATTTTCATTTAGCTTTGAAGAATGCCGCGTCTGACGTTGGTTCAACGTTAATTCGATGAGCAAAATCAACGTTGTTTCAATGTCATGAGAGACGTTGTTTCCACGTTGATTCAATGTCAGTTTGCTATCTGGGCAATTAAAATTTTACTTGAACTTATTACTAAAAGTACCAAGTTCACTTGATGTTTTGGGGTTTACTGTTATGTGTCAATCATGTGTGTTCAGTCCAACATCAATTGATGTTATTATGTTTTACTGTTATGTTAAACCCAACACATAAAAAATACACAAAATTGCATCAATGGGCCTATTAAGAAAGCTGTAAATACCAGTGCTGCAGTATTTGGAATATATTAAAGAATAAGTACCTGTTCATCTAACTTGTCCAAGAGAATCTTCATTTCTTCTCCAAATGCATCTGTTCTCTTTCTGTACAGCTTCAAGAGAGGTGTTGTGTATTTTTCGAGGGACGTGTAGAACTTCCCCAGGAGGTCGACGTTGCTGATACGAAAAAACTCCATGCAGATCTATATATTTAAAGCCACAATATGTATTTTTTCTGCATTAAAAATAGCAAAAATAACTGTATCTATGTTATATATTTCTGTTAGATATGTACTTACATTATCCCGACAGTTTCCACCAAATTTCAAATACGGAGAAATTTATAGTTTAATTCGAAGACACGGGACGTTTCTTTATTTCCGTTTCGTCGCCCGTCTATGGCGTCATATAACCTTTGACTCCTCTATTTTCTCTAACTTCCTTGCGGAACCCGGCGAAACCGCCAAACACAAAGGGGAACACTGGACTACCGCCAATAAAGCAAAGAAAATGACGAAGAAAAAAAAGTAGTACGTATTTTTATGTGTGTAAATCACGTGCCCGCTCACGAGCGCTCACTCTTAACAGACACACTGTCCCCGGTGCTGCTCGCGCATAAAGCGCTCCCCGTTCACAGTAACCGGGTCGTCTCATTCAAATCAGCCAACTGTTGCTGTTAGCGAGCCGCGCACATTGAATACTCTTATGAGTCAGGCTGCGAATGTACGTGCCCGCTTCAGCTCTCTCATGCTTACTAAATAAACGCCTCACCTCCGGCGCCGCGCACTCACTACATTCCCTTTAGCCTTTAGCACATAGTGTATGAATAACGCAAACCCAGTCAAACGTTTGACTGCAGTATCTTATGTGCTTTATAATCCGGTGCGCTCTATATATGAAAAATGTTCTAAAATAGGTCATTCATTGAAGTAGTGTAATATTAATATTTATATTCGTCTGTATAATAGTTATGGACCACGATTACGCTTTGCCTGCACGTTCTGCTGCTACAGCCAGCTCATTAGCTAAAGCTCAAACGTACCGGAAAAATATGACCCGAGAAGGGTTTGGGACAGGAGAAGCATGACACAGGTAAACATTGGGGTTGCATTTAAAGCTTCTTGACAAGCTAAATCTACAGAGAGATGCCGTATATCCGTATATTTTGTGAAACGATGATGTCATGTCATGAGCTGAGCTGGTTGTCATTGACAGCGACAACAACTCCCGTGAGCCCACGCTCTTTCCCGACGTCATCAAAGTACGTCTTTTGTTATTATTTTAAACGAGTGACCCCTGGTGGCCAAAAGTAAATACTGTACGTTTAAAAATAAAGAATAATATAAAAAAAAACATTAATAGTAATCACCAGAAAATGTTGCCAATACAACTAAAATATTCAAAATTTCTAATAGTAATTATAATTAAAATAATAGAAATTCATTAAGACTAAAATAAGAAATCTGAAGAACACAGGTAACAACATTTGTTATTAAATGGTTTACCTCATCCTTGAGAAAAAGTGCAGGCCATCTCTCTCTGACCTCCTTAACTAGTGGCTGAATCTCTACAACTTCTTTGCGGCGAAGAGAAAATGTTTCTTGCATTTTCAGTTGAATGAGCGCCGAATCAATCCTTTTTTTTTTTCATTTCGTCGACCATACCAAGTCTCACCTCCTCAAGTGAATCATCTGTTTGGCCATCAGGATGGTCTGGTAAAAAGTTCACCTCTGCTCTTTTAGGCTTTTTAATGGTGGCCATCATACTCTCATGTGATTTCCTTTTTGTGTTAACACTAACTTCTGAACAACCAGCCTCTCTCAATTTAGCTCGATAATTGCTAAGCTTAAACTTTATACTCATAATCCATCCATCCCAGCCTGTGCGTTTGCCAGGTTCTTTAAGGCAAGGATGTTTTTCTACTAGAGCAGAGGCAACTGACTGGATCTCATAGGCATCGGGGTAGGCTTTAATTTCAAAAATTGCCTGCGCAATCTTGTCCAGAATCTCACACTTCATATCCCTGGGTACACTCAGAAGCTTCTTTGTCTGTTGGTATATCTCATTGGCTTTACGCAGCCTGAGTTCCACATCAAGAGAAAAAGCAGGTATGTTAAAAGTAGAGGGCCACTGTTCAACACTTCTGAGATTTCTTGACACAGATGTTTCAGGGATTTGGACATCACTTTGACAACTTGTCATGCTTGCTGTATCAAGTGAGGACACTGAACTTGCATCGGTTAGTGCAGGAGATGCTTCTTCCCACAGAATCTTTAAGGTTGCCTTTGCTGCTGGCAATTCTTGGATGTCATTCAAGTTACAAAGTTCATTGTTAAAGTCTGGGTCTTCAAATTGTAGAGAAAATCCAGATTTCAGCTGCAATTTCTCGCCAAGGAAAGACTTCAAATCGTCCACAGACTCAGGCCTTTTAGGCAGCTCTACCCTCCTGATGTTGGTAGAAGAAATGTGAACCCGAAGCAACATGCTCTATATAGAAAGCAGAACTTAGAGTCAAAGGCAGTCATCATTAATTCACTGGGACACATTTTTTATTATTATTATTCTTAACAGCAATATTGGGAACCTATGTGACTATATTCTAGTGTGTACAGAACACACAACTGTCAACTCTCCTAATGAGTTAAAACACTTTTGGAGTCACAAGCACTTTCATACCAACTTTGTATGCTGTTAATGGATGGAAATCATTCAGCATGTCAGGATCAAGAACATGAATATCACTAAAACTGTTTTCCTTTATCTCAAAGGACCTGAAGTGTTCAAGATACCAGGCAGACAGTTTTTTACAAAGGAATGACACATCTTTGGGAGACACTACAGAGTTCAGTATTTTAAAAAACTCTGGCAAGCCACTACATTGTCCTGCAGAGATAATCATGCCAGCTGAATATCGAACTCCATGCAAATGAATAGTGGAGGAGAGAGACACTTGGCTTGTGTTTGGATACCTTCTCTCAATTGCTGACATAACTGGGGCTTCAAGAGAAGCAAGTGTGAACACCTTTGCTTTCTCCACATGTAGTGATTGTTTGAAAAAGTCCTCACCATCAAGATAATAAGCCATCATTTGTTGATGCTTCATGGAAAGTGTCAGTAGAACATTCTTAAAGTTCTGAGTGTCATGGACTACTTTTTTAAAGTAGCTGTGCTTAGCCTCGAAGCGCATTGTCCCTAGGGACACTAGTGGTCCAAAACAACTAATCAAATGAGGGTAATGGTTAATGAAATGATGTTTTGGACGAGAAAGGTTGGCAAAGGTTTCAGTCAGCAAGTTTTGGTGGTCTTTGATTTTGTTCTCTAGGTAACAAAGAGACTCCTCTGAACATTTTGACGATAGAACTAACTCAACAATGACCTTCAGGTCCATTAGAATCTCCCAAGCTGGTTCATTTTCAGGAATTTTGTGACCGATCATAAGAGGTAGCAAACGTAAAAGTGTCCAGTTCTCGTGTGCATTACCACCTATTGTACCTTTGGTGAAACTTGACTTGGTTAAGACCTTTGGCTTGTTGACCTTGTCTGAATCTTTGTACGGAAAGGACTTAATGCAGTGATTGAGCTCATCAAATGAAATGTTTCTTTTTGAAATTAAATCTTTCAGGCACAAAGACAATTCTACAGGTACAACGCCTTCCAAAAAGTCATGTAATGCATCAGGAGGGAAACCAGTGACAGGATGAAAGAAAGACAGGTGCTTGCTTAGCACACATTCCCTCTTCACACCGTTGACATTTTGCAAACTTCCATCTGTCTGCGCTTCCAGGACAAAAGAATTGTGTTCTTCTACAGTTCTTAGTTTGAAATCACTGATCTCAACCTGACCAGACTTGAATTCATGCTTACTGATCAAACAAAATCTGCACAGTTTGTCAGAATTGAAGCTTTCTTAAAAGCCTGCCAAGCTATGAGCGCCTAAATTGTCAGCACAAACGCAAAAGACTGTCCCCTTCACGTACTGATTCAGAGCAGGCACAAAAACACCTGTTTGCTCCAAACACTTCACATCTTTCATCAGTGGATCCAAAAATTTCTCATATCCAAAGAGGCGAACATCATCACTCTTACCAAGGACCGCAAGCTGAATTGAGTAAAGACTAGAGCGGAATTTGGAAGGCAAGTTTAGAACCACCCAAAAAATGGCAACAATCTTATGGATTTTTCTCGAAGTGCCCAAGGGATTGCACACTTCAAATTCATCAACATATAGTCCCAAAGATATTGCAAGGTCTTTGTCACCTAGAAGTCGGTTAAAAGTAAGCACCATCTTGAAAAGACTCAAAATGTCCAGGAGTAGACTCTCCACTGAACACAATCTTATCCAACAAATCTTTATGACCTAGTAAGCGCTCCAGAACATGATATAAAGACACATAAACAAAGTGATTTTTGTGTGTCCTGTCATAGAGATACTCTGTTGGCTCAATTACAGAGAAGTGTTCTTTGAAATACGCATTCCTTCTATGGTCTGTGGATAAACTGCCTATTTCTGAAGTAGTCAGCAGAAGAGGATTGGTCTCAAAAATAGCACTGTTAATTTCCTGGAGAATAGAATTATCTACATCAATTTTTCGTTTGACCAAGATATTTCTGATGCTTTCAACAGCAAGAGACTTGGAAAAGTGCAATATATCATGAATTTCCTCAACTATGTTATGTATGGCACTCTTAGATATATGCAAGACTGTTTGCATTTTCAAGAATACAGAAGCCAGTTTATGTTCAAGAGTTTCAATATCCACACTTTCACAACCAGAGTCAGTAGACTCTTGAACAACCTGTGAGGACTGACCAGCATCATGGTCATCATTATCATCAAAGTTCAGTGTTGTATCAGTGTTAATGTTCTCAGTTTCAGTTATGACAGAGTTTCTTAAATCTTTTGTTGTATACGTTTTGTGTTTCCTTGTCCTGTGAGAGGCAAAATTGGAAAGCCTGTTGGTTTTATACTCACAGCCAGAAAAAGGACACTGTACAGTTTCATGCCTTTTTAGATGTCCATTAAGATGTCTAAAAAATATGGTTTCACTGCAAACATTTTCAAATTCACACAGATCACATTTAAATGTTAAGCTGACTTGCCTAATTGTTCTGCGGGTGTGGCAGCGTGGCAAATGTGATTTTAAAGCACTTTGTGTCCGGAAAGAGCAGACACAATCTGAATATAGGCAAGGCCAATTAGTTCCTTTATGACCTTGTCCATGACGAAGCCTGTAATGCTTTACCAGGACTTCTGGGTCAGAGTTAGAAATTTACAATATCTGCACTGCATTTCCTGGACTAATTCGCTGTGAAAACATTTTTTTTTCCAACAATTTAGGCCATTTTTATACTGATATTTTTTTCAATCAAAAGTGCAGAAAATCAGTAACATGCTACTAGAACATTTTAGGAATACAACGCTATTTTTTCCCCCATAAAACGCTTAACAAATTCACATGACAAATAACATGCAGTCGATTCTAAAAGTGATTAATACCCACTGGTTATTTTAAAGAAAAGATGGATTGATCAGACAGGACACCACTCCTTCACATCAGCATCGAAAAGGACCCAAAAGTGCGCGAAATCAGTAACACACTGTGAAATGAAATAAAGCTGTCAGTTTGTGAAGAACACAATATTCGTTAAATATTTCAAAATAACATACAGACGATTATAAAAATGATTAATACACACCGTTTATTTTAGAGAAAAGATGGATTGATCAGACAGGGACACCACTCCTTCACATCAGCATCGAAAAGGACCCAAAAGTGCGCGAAATCAGTAACACACTGTGAAATGAAATAAAGCCGTCAGTTTCTGAAGAACACAATATTCGTTAAATATTTCAAAATAACATACAGACGATTATAAAAATGATTAATACACACCGGTTATTTTAGAGAAAAGATGGATTAATCAGACAGGACATCACTCCTTCACATCAGCATCAAAAAGGACCCAAAAGTGCGCGAAATCAGTAACACACTGTGAAATGAAATAAGGCCGTCAGTTTGTGAAGAAAACAATATTCGTTAATTATTTCAAATAACATACAGACGAGTATAAAAATGATTAATACACACCGTTTATTTTAGAGAAAAGATGGATTGATCAGACGAGGACACCACTCCTTCACATCAGCATCAAAAAGGACCCAAAAGTGCGCGAAATCAGAAACACACTGTAAAATGATATTAGGCCGTCAGATTGTGAAGAGCACAACATTCGTTAAATATATTTCAAATAACATAGAGATGATTATAAAAAATGATTAATACACACCGGTTATTTTTTTTTAAAGAAAAAGCTGGATTGATCAGGCACGACGACACCACTCCTTCCCATCTGCATCGAAAAGGACCTAAAAGTGCGCGAAATCAGAAACACACTGTAAAATGATATTAGGACGTCAGATTATGAAGAGCACAATATTCATTAAATATTTCAAATAACATACAGATGATTATAAAAATGATTAATACACACCGGTTACTTTTTTTTTTTTTTTTTTAAAGCTGGATTGATCAGGCACGACGACACCACTCCTTCACATCTGCATCGAAAAGGACCCAAAAGTGCGCGAAATCAGAAACACACTGTAAAATGATATTAGGCCGTCAGATTGTGAAGAGCACAATATTCGTTAAATATTTCAAATAACATACAGATGATTATAAAAATGATTAATACACACCGGTTACTTTTTTTTTTTTTTTTTTAATATATAAACTCCAGTGGGAAACACTGAATCATAATATAAATTTTTGACCAAACCATGCAGCCCTAGTAAGAAGGCATTTTGAATTTTGCTTAAAACGATACCTTTTTGCAGTCATTATTACTCCTAGTCTCCTTTACATGAAGAGGCGGGGCACCACAGGGGAAGACTCTGGGGCTGGCAAATCCGAAGTGCAGGCAGGGAGAGTGTGGGCAGGTGCAGTCATTAATGGAGTGCATCCAAGAACAAAATAGGTTTTAATATCTTTTGAAGCAATTACTTAGAAAAATTTAACTTTTCATAGGTTTACCATTTTTTAAAAGTGTTAGAGTTTCCACAAGAACACTCTTAATCTCTCTTATATATCGGCCAAGATTTGTTGATTGACTCCACTGTCATTCCTTGTTGATGTTGTTGCCTCCCTGCTTGATTCCTAAAATTGTAAAACATTTATTAAAACTTGCTGAAAATGTACTCAACATCAAACCATCCAAGATGTAGGATTAGTTTGTTTCATAATTTGTAACAGATTTTGAGAAATTTAGCATTACATCATTTACTCACCAATGGATCCTCTGCAGTGAATGGGTGCTGTGAAAATAAGAGTCTTGTGAGAACTTTAATAGTAGATTTAATAAGTATATGTAGTGTTTTATTTTTTATATTTGTTCATTTAAATTCTTTCTTGTATGCTACTGTTAAATACATCAACTGTTGCTAGAAAACAAAGCAGTGGGAAGAATGAGTCTAGAGTAGGGATGTCAACGATTAATTGACGATCGATTAATTGTCAATGAGCCTTTTAATCGATAAACCTTATCCATGATCGATTAAGCGTGACGTGCGTACAGCAGATGAAAGGGGGAAAATGATAGCGAGCATGCAAGAGTTTTGTTTGAGATCATTTTATTTCAAATGTTAATAATGTTAACTGCAAACATTTTGATTGTGTTTTAAAATATAACACGACAACTAGTACTGTGATATATCACTTACAGAAAGTACATTCAGCGGTCTCCGGGACAAGAGGATTTGAACAATCGACACAGCCTACAATTACTTCAGTTTTAGCCGGGAAAAAAGTTGGAGCTCAAAAGGCAGAAGCAATTACAGAACGAATCTATGAAATGATTTCAAATGACTTGTTGCCAAGGTGGGGGATTTCGAAAGTTAATCAAAAAATTAAAATGTGTTAAATTATTTGTTAGCTTTAAAGTGTAAATGGGCACAAATATACGTATTGTAACTTTGTTTTACAAGTAACAAACTGTTGAATGTGTTTTGGAAAATGATATTAAAATAAAAGTTTTATTTGAAAAAGAAACTCTAAATCCTGAGGTCTTCTTAGCAGGCCTTATGGGCATTTACAAGTAAACGTGGCCTTTTCACATTCTCTAGACTTTCCCCAATATGCACAACATTAAGGAAATGTCCTAGCACATGTGGGAAGATAACAACACACTTATTACATTAACAAAAACTAATTTGACACACGCATCACGGATTGACAGAGCGCATCTGCAACGGCGTAATATTAATATTTGATAATTAAATAATTATATTAAATGATCAATCATCGATACATATTATAATCTAGCTGTGTATTTACATCAAATCTTTCCTCTGGGCGAGGATGCTTGCGTTTTTTGAAAGCCATTGCACAGTCTATTACGCAGCAGCAGACCCATCTTGCAGCATATTGTATACTAGTTAACGATTAATCGATTAATTGATCATTAATTTAAACGACGATCGATCATGCAAATTTATGGAAATTGACATCCCTAGTCTAGAGCCCTGATATATGTAACTTTGTTGAAATAATCGTACTTTTTCTCGATTATACTGATGCAGAAAGGATCTTATTCTTTTGACGTTTTTTTCAGAAACTTGTTTACTGACTGCCTGTAAATAAATGAGAATTGTACAATTACAAATATAACCTTCAAATTAGCTGATAGTGGCAATTATCTGGGTCAAAGCAACAATAGCTTATCAGGTTTCGACATTACATATTGTCATGTCATGTGCTTGTCCTTCGGATGCCATTCTTCTTATGCTTTTGCTTTTGGCTTGCTCAGTTGGGGTTATTTATTGTTTAGCAGTATTATTGATCTGTGTTGTACTACTTTCATGTTATCACTGTGAAGCTGCTTTGATACAATCTGTATTGTGAAAAGCGCTATATAAATAAATGTGACTTGACTTGACTTATGATGTAACGAGTACATCAGGATTTAAGGGACGTGTTCCCTGTTCTGGCTGACCTAATCTATGCAGCCTAACATTGAATTATAGAAGTCTATAGTGTGTTATGTGTATGCTAGGGCAAAGAGATGTGTTTTTAGTCTAGCTTTGGACTGAAAGATTGTGTCTGCTTCCTGGAAAATATTAGGAAGACTGTTCCAGAGTTTTGGTGCTAAAAATGAAATGGATCTACTGCAGCACTTTTTATATTTAATAAACAAGGAGTTATTATTGTGACAAAATGGTGTTAGGGTTACCACAAACCACATCATCCTAATTTACCTCATATTCGTCACTGCTTACTGATTCAGAAAGTATTCTTCTATACTTCTGGCGCCTCCCTCTCCCTAATTCTTCATTCCCTTCAGGTCTGGATTGTTTGATGGACTGATTTTTCTCTACAGAATGAAGCTGCTTAAGCATGGCAGATCTAGTTCCTGAAAGGATAACTAATTATCACAACATGCATCGATTTTGTCACAGTGCACAGAGTAAACATACTTACCAATGTCTAGAATTTTTGCAGGGCTGGACTTTTCCTCGTACTGGACATCACATACACCATCTCACACTTTCCATTAATAATTTTATCAGTTGAAAGCACATCCCATGTTGGGGGATCTTCAATCCACTGGATTAACATAAACCTCATTTTCTTAATAGGATAAAAAAAATAGACAATATTCTGTCAATTATATGTGTTTGATATGTAACAAAGAGTGTTTATCCAAATATAATATGGGTACTTTCCTGTTATCCGGACCCCACGATGGCCTACCCCTAACCCCGCCCTAAACCTAACCGTCACTGGGTTTAAGACCAATCAGGGATGACTAGTTCCGAAATGGTATATGGTGGGGTCTGGACAGTGTTGGTCAAGTTACTTGGAAATAGTAATTAGTTACTGATTACTGATTACTTCTCCAAGAAAGTAATCCAATTACTTTACTGATTACTTATTTTCAAAAGTAATCAGTTACTTTACTAGTTACTTAACTAAGTTACTTTTCAAAAACATGATGTACGACCTGAATACGCTAAAGCATAGACCTTTCAGCCTAATTCTATTCTTTCTGCATATTCCATCATCTAAAATGTAATCAAATTAAACATTCTCTTTTTTTAAACTTGTTTTATTTGTTTCAATATTTTAACTTTATGCACATTGCATCAAGCAAAAATTAAATTAAATGCAACAGTCTCAGACTAGAAGAAAATTGTTGAACATTTAAACCTATTTTCTGCACATTCCACCATTTGAATGAAATAAAGACAGCCCTTCTTCTGTTAATATACATTTCTACATATTCCAGCATATAAAATAAATATATTTTGTAAAATCCTTCATTTGAATAGATGTAAAAATACAGCAATAAAATCATGAAAGTCGCTCCTGACTATATTACAAAGTATTAACACGTACGTCTTTTAACAGTAAAGTGCAGAGAGGAGTAAAAATTAGTTGATCAAAACAGAAAATGCTGTTGCATGCCGTATTTTGGCTTCAAGATTTTGTTTTTTTTTTCTTTCGGAGTTTCTTCTCGGAGTTTCATGTCAGACGGGGGTTCAGGTTTTTTTTCAGTAAGTTTCATATTCCTGTACCGGCTTGCTGCTTTAGTTAACCGTGTGAGACTGTCTCGTGACATGCTTGCTCAGATTTGAGGTAGAATTTTGACATTCTCCAACGGGGGTCCAGTTTCTAGATCAGGATGCTCTCTGCATAGTACGCAAGTCTCTCTTGCTCTCCTCGTCATGCGCGCGATACGAAGTTTGGACTTTGGAACACAGTCTCGCATGCGCGCTCGCTCTAGATTCCGGGAGATTTTAACTAATTTGCGCTATAACTAGTCACAAATGTGGCTCAACGGTTAGATTTATAGATAAACTCATCTTTCAGGCATTTGACCGACGGGATTGACACTTCAGCGCGAGAAATCAGGGGTGTGTCGTGTGAGCGTGTGTGAGAGTTGGCAGCTCGGCTGCTCTCTCCCGCGCTCTAGTCGTCTCTGATGATGTCGTGGCGCTCATACATCATTGTTATTCATGCACGACTCGTGTCACGAGACAGTCTGACTAAACAAAATCACGGTTAACTAACGCAGTAACGCAGGCTGTTTACGGGGAAGTAACGGTAATCTAATTACTGTTTTTTCAATTGTAATCCCTTACTTTACTCGTTACTAGAAAAAAGTAATTTGATTACACTGCCCATCAGTGGGTCCGGATAACAGGATAGTACCATAATATGCTTTAATGTT